ATATTCACATTTAGTATTCACATTTATATGTTTTGCGAAAAGAATTCTTCTACCCTTGCTAATGTGCATCATTGAGAATTTCTTCCTCTGCAGCTTGAACAAATGGACTAGACCCATTTTTTCTTCATAATCCATTGTGCCTGATCTTGTAAAGCTTTCACAAAACATTTGTCATGGAGATAAAATAACTGGATGACGACCATCCATAACTCTGACATGTTGATCATTTTCCAAAGCGATCGTTAATATTCCATTCTCTAGTTCCATGTAATCACTAGTCAAAAGAGTCTTTAGCTGCAATCCTTTTAAATCATCCGACCACTTATCCTGCAACCACAAGGTACTGTGTACTTCTTCGAAACGAGAAAGAAAAATTGTGTTCACTGGACAGCATACCTCTCCCTGCTGCTGCTGATGCTGACATGCTGTTCCTGTTGTCGTCTCTTTTATTGATATGTCCTTTGTCCACTCTTCTTCTTTCTTCTTGATTTCTTCACAGAATAAATTCTCTACTATATCTCCATTTTCACCTTTTTCAAAACTCTCGTGTTCTCCATTACATCAGATTTTTTAATTTGGTTCTGCCTGATTTGGTGCATATGCAAGTAGGCATCGTTCAATAGTGCCCATCGATGTAGTTTTTATCTACTCTAAGACGATTATTGGGAATACCAATCCATCCACAGCGCAACCCCGGTTGCGTGCTCACACGATTATCGGGGCACATATTAGTTAAAGACGAGTGGCAATCGGCCCAAAACACGTTCTTCCTCAGAGTGTTGAAGATATTGATCTTGATTTAAGTTTTCAGCACAGGTACGGCACAAAGGAAACACCAGATTTCCTGGGGAATGGCAGGGTTAGATGGGATGATTCAAATAAGTGGAGGGTAAACTTTGTATATGATCAAGCCTTAGTAAAAACAAATGTGTTGTCAAACTTGCGGATGCCCTATGGGAAATCGACAGTTTTTGCACAACCAATGATATAACGAACACACATCGATATATTTAATACCATCTTCCTCATGAGATGCATTCATGTTGTAAAGCAAATATTCATTCGTCCTCCAAAAAAAACACTTTTGCGTGGGTCCAGAAATTACATGTCCACCACGTCGTAACTTTCGGCAATGCGCAAAACATCGTGGTCGGTTTATAAAATAGATTATAGTAGTGTTCCCACATTTCTGCCACTCGGTATTCTTATTATTCTACCTTCCGGCGTATTTGGTAGGTTTTCTGGTATAAGCTTTCTATCGTGTGCTGTAAGAAGGACCTTTTTTGTGTGCATCGTGAAGCAAGCATCCATTGAATTCGTAGAAATTGGGATTTTCTAAATCCTAACCATCCACTGAAAGATTTTCAATTTTTATTTCGTCTCCCTTTCTGGCATGTTGTATCCTTTTTTCCATTTTTGCACAAGAAATTTAACCAACACAGAGCTTTGGTGAAGTATCGAAGGTATGAACCTTAGGTTTGAAAATAATTTGTTGCGGTACACTAAGGAACATGCGATTCCTTCAAAAGATTGATACCTATATTTTTTTCAGAAATTATTGTCGAAATTTTGCACAATCACAACTTAAAATGTCCATTTCGTATCAACGATACCTTAACGTTTCTTCCTAAAAAACAAAAGAGTTAGAAGCATTACAGGTTTACTAAGCATTGAAGTTTTCGCGTTTGTTTGGTGTGCGTATTGTCGGGTTATAATAGTGAGCCTTGGGCAAATGCTGGATGAAGGCATGTTGATTTACGTCGGTATTGAACAAGTTCGGAAAATACCCTTCTGCCATTTCTGTCATTCCAAACTGCATTTGTTCTATTTTCATGTATATGAGTTTAGCTCTGTTCATGGTGACTTGTTCTAAATAGTATTTCAGAGGAATCCAGAGAAATTGTGAGCCATCAATATAGCAAATCGATGACAATTTCCGTAGTGTTAGATGTTCTCTTGGCATCAAATGTCGTTGATATGGTCTCCGAACCATTGCGCAGAATCGGGAAGCATGCTGGGAATACGGAAGATTTTTACATGTCATCTTGGAGTCTTGCTACAGTGGAGACAATGAGCAACTCTTGTTCTTGGATGTACTGCTTGAAAACCGAAGAGCAACGCAAACATTATTGATGTGAATACCGATATCTTGCGTGCATTCCAAATTTTTAAACAAATATGAAGTCCACTTGTGCCTCTTTATTCTGTTCATCGTTGATGTTTTCCTATTGCTGGCTCTTAAATTTCTGGACATAACACTGATGTTCGAACTCAACAATTTTGTCGCTAAAACGGCATCGTTTCTTCCCTAGACAAACGTGGACTTTGGACTTGTTGGTGCGAATGACATATCCTCAAGGAGACCACAATCTCAGTAATTGGCAAGCGCTTTTTTGTTGTTGATCTTGCACCGTGCAGTGTCATTTGTAACGCGTAGGACTGCCAAAGGCTCACTTTGAAGCTAAGCAATGAATTCGTCCATTTCCTTCGGAAATGCAAAGTCTAGATTAAACATTCCTAGTATATTTCTTCTCAATGAATGTATTCACCTATTGGTAAATCTTTGATGGCACATTTTACAATAATGATCATATCCGAGAATTCCTGTGATAATGATAATAGCATCGATATATTCTTCATGATAATGGACCTAAATGTATTTTCCGTCTGGGAAATCGGCTCTCGAAACACTACAAACAACTTGAGGATACGCTATTAATGTGTAGCATGGAGCCAAGAACTCTTGAGGTTTGTGCATTTCAAAAACGGGAAATGCAGTTTCTTTCGATATGCATGCTTGCTTTAACACGGATTGTTTCTATTCGTCATTCGGTTCTGTCTGATTTTTGAATGCACTCCAGGTACATTTCTAGTCTGCAGTTTGGTTCTTGTCGACCCACAACGAAAGCTCACTCAGACTAAACACATATGCTACGCTGATGCGTTCTTCCACCAATAACAATTTTCTTCGTATACTCCCTTTCGACGGTGAAAAAAATCGTGGGTCACGTAAAATGTGGCTTTTCCAACTGTAATTTGAAACCCATCGTTGCTAAATTTTGTCGATGATTTTGGATGGTATCAATTCAGCCATTGTGCCAACTCGGTCCAGACAGGTGATTTCAGACTGACTTGACGTTTTTACATGTGATGTGAAATATGCATTGTGATTTCAGTAAGATAATACACCAAAGAAAAAGGAAGAGTATGTTTCATCATGGCTTAGGTTTTACTTGTGTTGGCAATCTTTGAGTAGTGTCTCTCTTCTAGAAATGTGAGCGGCCCTGAAAAGGACCACCGAGTGTTTGCTTTTGACAGACGCATGGATTTAACGTGATGAGCTTGCCTGTTTCAAGCCCTTATCACAACCAAGTATTAATTCCTCTCTGGTTACGGTGAAGTGTTTGTTAGCAATTGTTGCTACTGACATCACAGTGGTAATGAGCAAACATGTAGTGATGGCCGGGTTGGAGTGTTTGGCCAGTGAAGGTCTCATTATAATGAGTCGACTTACTAATTTTACATTTCTTTCAGATAACCTAACTCTACTTATATGTCTAGTTGCACACACAACTTTTGGCTCTCACCACCATCACATTCCCGTTATCTTCCTTCACACTTTCTGTTCTCTTCATCTTCACTACTTCAATGGCATAGTGGTTAGAGTGTCCACCTCTGATGCGAGAGGACGCGTGTTCGAACTGACACGACTGAAAAAGTATTAAAGCTGGGTAACAAATCCAAATCACACACACGTCTACTTCTTCTTCTTCTTCTTCTTCTTCTTCTTCTTCTTCTTCTTCTTCTTCTTCTTCTTCTTCTTCTTCTTCTTCTTCTTCTTCTTTTACTAATTCTTTTTCTTCTTTTTCTTCTTCTTCTTCTTCTTCTTCTTCTTCTTCTTCTTCTTCTTCTTCTTCTTCTTCTTCTTTTACTAATTCTTCTTCTTCTTCTTTTTCTTCTTCTTCTTCTTCTTCTTCTTCTTCTTCTTCTTCTTCTTCTTCTTCTTCTTCTTCTTCTTCTTCTTCTTCTTCGTATTCTTCTTCTTTTTCTTCTTCTTCTTCGTATTATTTGTATTCTTCTTCGTATTCTTCTTCTTCGTATTGTTCTTCTTCTTCGTATTCTTCTTCGTATTCTTCTTCTTCGTATTCTTCTTCTTCGTATGCTTCTTCTTCTTCGTATTATTCTTCTTCATATTCTTCTTCTTGGTATTCTTCTTTGTATTCTTCTTTATATTCTTTAATCACTAATGTTTGTTGTGCTTCTTTCTGCGATCGTAAAAGACACTCCATTTCTATCTTCTGTTTTTTTTTGTCTAAATATCTTTACTAAAGGTAGCGACAGAGACGAGGGTGAAGATAGTAATACAGTAAAAATTCTTGCTTACATGAAATAAAATTTGCTAAATCACAATTAAAATCATTATCTACTGGAAGTGTGACCATGGTTTTAGTAGCGGCAGTAGGAGCATCCAAATACATATTATTCCTAGTTTCATCCATATTCAACCAATTTCGCATTAATTCGCTGCGTATGAACGCTAACGCTCCTATATACTACATGGGATATCATGCGTTGCTTTCGCCTCATTGTATGACTGGATTTTGTAACGCAAATTTGGATTACTAAAACATTTTAATCCATTTCTTTCTCTATCCTATGGTTTCAACTAATCTCAGCCATGATGAAAATGCATATATTGCTGACAAATGGAGAGTTCAAGCATGTGTGCTTGTGTGTGTCTGCATGTGTGTGTTTCTGTGTGTGTTTGATTTAGATTTTTAACGTAGATTTAACAATTGTTCAGTCATATCGTTACGATGTCTGCAGTGTGGCAGTCTATATTGATGTCTAGCACTGGGGCATCATGTCTCAGACACGTAGCATGTTGTCCCACCCAGTCACGTTATCCTGACACTAGGCCGACCAGTATTTAACACTAACCTCTTAATGCTGAGCGCCAAGCGAGGCGGCTGTTAGTACTATTTTTTTAGTCTTTGTTATAACTCGATCGGGAGATCGAACCCGCAACGTCCCGCATCTGAGGAAGACGCTCTAACCATTAAGCCACCGGAGCGGTCTCTAGATTCCAAGCAGTATACCATGTTAGTAAGTGTGGAGGCGTCCACCCTCATATCAGGAATGCTGTTCAGCCAGAACTGTCTGATGGGGTGAAATCAGCAGAATTCATCACCAAGATTACGGATACAGCTATCTGGAAGAGAAAAATTTATGTGGAAAGACAAGGGTTCCTCAAGAGAGTATTGCTGTACGGCCGCACTTTCACACGAAGCCTGATGAAAAGATCTCCGACATATGTTAACACTTTTTGGGTAACAAACCAATTTTCAGGGTCACTCAGAGCTCTAGTGTGTTGGGTGGGCTTGTGGATGGGTGTTGTGAAATATAGAGCATGTGCCTTTGTTTATGTTAACAATGAAAATCTTAAAAATCATTGACCATTATCCTTCTCTATCGACCATATAACCTTTTTTATCCATAAATCGTCAAGTCCCATAAATCCATCTGCAACATAAACCCATTCCCATATTAAACCAATGGACCATTTTAACATAAGATTTGACGTATTGCCTCAAGTGGCAAATTATGCTCCAATGTGGCACATGCAACTACTACTATACATTATAAAACAGTGTCACGTTCTTTCAAGCTAGGTAGCCGGATGTATAAATGTGTGATGTTACAACGCGTTTGATGTAAACATCGCCGCCGGTTAGTGTCAAGCAATTATGGAAGTCGCTAGAAAACTCAGCTTTCAGGTTCAAACTTGTAACGTGTACCCATGTGTTATACATTGGTCGTATATCAAAAGGAAGCACACAGTCTAAACGGGGCGTGTTCTACCCGCCACGTAGAAAGGCTAACAAGAACCATGACAGTTCATCTGGTTGGGTCAGTCACATAATATCCAATCGGAATTCAGCCAGTGGGTGCGCTTAAATCCTAGATTCAAAACATATTAACTGACCTCTGTCCAAAAAATTAGTATATATCTAGGCAATTGTGAGGAGACATAGCTAGGTAAGAATTATACTCCGTGACACTCCAGTCTTGAATTGGCGGGATACGTAGGATAAAGAATTGTGAACAAAGAAAGATGCTTCGGAAGGTAGTTATTTGCTCCATTGTTGCAAAACATTACAGCACTGTAATTGCAAGTATTGACATAATGTTTACTCAATTACTGGGATAGTTTTAGTACGTATAATTACTTTGTAGTGTTTTATTTATAAGCTTATTTGAGTCATGAATTTGAGTAAGGTAAAATTATGTAGATTGCTAGTTCAGCAGAAAAAAAATATGAGTCGTTTGTCGGTTGCTCCGTAGTAACCAGTATCTTTAATAATAGGCATATTAGCGTTCACTAGTTAAAAAGAGATGTCTGAATATATCAGAGCATAGACATTTGGATATTTGTAAATTTTGGTATGAATTGTGATGTAAATATATGCGTCTGATTATTGTGATTGTCAATATAATAAAATTATGAATATGTACTGATGTGAAGAAATTATCATTGCATGTATACGATATGTATAATTAATATCGAGCTTTTATGATATATAATAATTTTGTATTATTATATTGTGTTTTACCATACGAGAGCGTATGTGTAATTAGGTGTGAATTGATGCGTGACCGGTGAAACTTGATTGCCTTATTTGATGATAAGCTACGTGTCCCCAGTCAGTCAGTGAGAGAGAGAGAGAGAGAGAGAGAGAGAGAGAGAGAGAGAGAGAGAGAGAGAGAGAGAGAGAGAGAGAGAGAGAGAGAGAGAGAGAGAGAGAGAGAGAGAGAGAGAGAGAGAGAGAGAGAGAGAGAATATGTAGAACCCAAATGTAACAACGTGATAAAAATCTGGGTGGCTGTTTGTATACGTCTGTCACCAATGAAGATTGTATTGATAATGTACTGTATGATTTCCGTCATACATATTGATAAGCATGAACTTGTTCAGACGTTAAAGAGGACGGCCATCATTGGATCTATTTTTAATCTTTCATTTGACTACCAGAAAAAGTATTCTATTACTTTTGGAAGACTTTCAAATGAAGGAAAGTTCAAAGACGATAAAGGCAAACAATTGATTTAAGAACGCGACAAAGGACCCTGAATGATGTCTTATAAACGTTCCCAGTATGAAATCTAGCCTTGAGTCTTTTATGATTTGTCTACGCAACCGCTATGTCAGAGGATGCTTTACCCTGTCAGATTATACTCTTTACATCCAGGCTATAGTGATCAACACACACACACACACACACACACACACACACACACACACACACACACACACACACACACACATATATATATATATATATATATATATATATATATATATATATATATATATATATATATATATACACACATAATGACATTAATACTAAATCTTTTAAAAATATTATTTTTATTTGTTTGTACACAAAACAATAATTAGAATACTTTTTGCATAGTGATTACAAATAAATTTTTTTGATAACTTCTGTTACAAAAATTGTTGTCTTTCACATATAAGTAAGTTTACTTGCTCTGATAATTGTTTTTAAATACGTGTTGTTTATTACCAATATATGAATGCATTTCCTCTGAAAACTTCTTTTACAATAATTCTTGTTTAATTGTTCGGATAACTGCTTTTATTATAAGTGCGTGCATTTATGTTACAATAATTTTCCTTCATTTTAAAGTAATATAATAATTTCCCACCTAAATGGGACCAAAATATCCCTCCTCGTTTGATGATTTGATGCCGTCCTTTTCAGAAAATGCTTATTCCCTTCTTGAAGATCAGTTATTTTAAATATGATGTAGTATAGACTAGAAGTTATTTTTCCCAAAAAATATTATACAGTACAGATTAAAAGTTCAGTTTGGTTTAGTTATGATGCAATATAGATTAGAAGTTTAGTTTGTTTTAACTATGATGGGAGTAGAGATTAATAGAATAAGATCTACTCTCTTTGAACCATTACAAAATAATAATTTTAGAAACACTTGTTTAGCTGTAGTACAACACTCTGGTTTGATTTTTTTGGTTGATTGCAATGAAACCTTCAGCCATGCCATCCTAAACGAAACCGTACATATGCAACCTTGTTTTAGATTAGGGAACGTATTCAGTCACACTTTAGAGCTACCAACTTTGGATTATAATTGCAACGGAAATCTCACAATGCTGAAAGAAATGTGTAATTTTTTATTGAGTGTGCCGATAATTTTTTTCTCTGCAGAACTATTAAAATAAGTTTTTCCCAAACACCAAATTGGTAAAGTCTTGATTACGCTATCAGCACCTTATATAACGTTGTTTAATTCATGTGAAACCACATATTAACCTATTTTCATGTAAAAGTCTAGAACTAAGGTTGCAATCTTTAATTGATCGGAGAAAACCAGTGTGCTTTTCTAATGTCTAACAATGATTAAATACTTAACATTTTCCTAGCTCACAAATTTAATTACAAGGAGTGTTGGTTTGGTGTAACTTTTCTGACTTTTGCAAAGGTGTGAAAATTCGATATTTCACTAAGATATGCCATAATAAGACAGACACCATGATTTGAGAAATAATGGAAACACAATTTTCTGTAAACATATAGGGTTATTCAGCGATAGCAAAAATGCTTTACACAAGTTTGAGAAGACCATAAAGTTTTGTATGCTAGATTCATATTTTGTTCTAAGTTCATTTAGGGAAATTTTTGGCAACTTTGTCAATAGACACACGTCACATGTGTCAGTAACTGATGATTCTCAGGTTTACATTTTAGTATCAAAACAGTGGCTCAATAAAAGTTTGATCAATGCTAAGAAGATCCAGACGTCAAATAGTATTTACAGCTATTTTGTAGAAATGCTTTCAAAACTGCCTAATATGCAGGTAATATTTTAGCCAATAAGTCTCGAAAATCAAGAAAGATGTGGCGTTCATGAATCAGTCTACTCGCATACATACAGTTATAAATGACTGAAATTTAGACTGGTTTTCAGATGAAACAAGCATCCAACTGATTTTCAGATGTAATAAGTAGTCTACAATACTTGGTCACAAATTTTAAGATTATTTTTTTCTTTGACTAAAGAAAAATGAATACAGGTAATATTACAAAACTGGAGCTGTGATTTGGCGATGCTCTGGCAATAAATATGTTTAACTTTGTTCATTGGGTGGCCATTTGGGCAACTTAGTTGTGGTTGTGCAAAGTCTTTGTTCTGATCAAAGTGTAATCGGACCTTAAATTTGGTTGATGAATATGAGACAATATGATGGGTATATCAACGTCCTTAGCCACATTACATGCACAAAAGGGGAATTTATTAATTTAATATATAATTTTAACTTAATTTAATACATTTCTTTCTTTTTTTGAAGGAAATAGAAAGTTTTCATTATAAAGACATTTGTGAAAATTTCCTTTTGTCTGGTTTGCCCAAGACAAGAAGCGCAATAAAAATCATCATAAATTTAGGATAGACTCTTTTCTATGTCTGAAACAGATCACATGCTATATAATCTTTGTTGCATACATGGCAATTATGCAAAAACTTGCATCTTATCATTATGTTAAAGCGATCAATTTGATGTCTGGGTCAGCATAATTTTCTTCTATTATGATTAAAGAGACATTTCTAAATTTCTCGACTACAGAGAAGCTCCTAAATGTCTTTCCGGTGCTTGGGAACTAGCATTCAAATGGGTAGTCATCTAATAATGATACACTTTAGCATTTTTTTGTCACTCAACCAATCAGTTGGCCCTCTTCGGAATTGTCCGTTTAAGAAAATGTTGACTGAAGTGCTAGCCTGAAAAAAGTTTAATTCACAACAAATGCCATCTAATACCGTATTCACCATCAGAACATGCTAGCGCTACAAATGCAGCAGTTCTCTGCAATACATGCCATGCTACTGCCATGTTTACGTTACTTTTTAGGTGGAAATTGCTAGCGGCATCAATTGCGTAAGTTTCTACCCGAATATTGTTTTACTTTAAATACCGTATTTTCCACCAGAACATATTTGTACCAAAAATACCGTATTGTTCCACCAGAAC